AACTCATACATTAATGTATAAATTCAACGTATACATTTGAAAATGGCCTTATAGAACAAAACTGTCGTAACGTTAGTTACATATAAAAGTGATAGAAAACATAGAGAGTTTCATTTCTCTTCTCGTTTCTCTCTAAGGATTATATAAATAACGTCTGCAAAATGTACAATCACCTTCCAAATAGTATTAAAGATATACGTCCCACACCAGCTTCAGAAAAGCAGTAAAAAGAGTTTTTTCCGATATTACAGTTTGGAAGAATATTACGTGGATAGAATAGAATGATTTGTAGACCAAAAATATACACTTTCTATACAATTTTGATTTTGATTTTGATTTTGATTTAAATGTCTTTATATTGTGGGTTACGTGTATGTCTGATATACAGAATATGATGTATATGCTATATTGTAAGTGTATTTTTACTGTCAAAATCATGACTTGCTATATATACAATTTTGTACTCAACAGGTCGAAAAAAGTTTGAATTTGAATTTGAATTTGAATGATTTCTAGTTTGGGAATGTACAACTCAACTTCCCAATATAATTGTGAAAAATTCAATTGAGTCCATGGCTCGATTTTATCACGCCAAGATTGCCAGAGCGAATTAAAAAAATATCTTAAATATCAAGCACCGTTGCATCCTGTATCTCAGATATCGATTCCGTGAAAAATGCAGAGCTCTTCCCAAAAGTAACGTGCTTGGAATCAGAAATCCGAGCTTTGAGCACTGAATTAGTGCAAGAATTTGCTGCATGAAAGGTGAACGTGAAAGGAATCTTATAATATCAGGGATGGCAGAGATGAACGACCCTGATGAAGATTCGTTTGAGGTGGAGGAAAAGTTACATGACATTTGCGCTAATAGAATCTCCTGTACCAAAGTATTTCACTTCAGAGCTAACTGAACTTACGTTATTAAAGTTCAGTTATCAAATAACAAACTTGCGTATGTCTAATAATTTCCATAAATAAAAAATGTGGTGAATCATACTAAGCATCTGATGTGTATTAATACAAAAGTCATCAAACTATCATAGATTTGAGAATATTAATTGGGAATAGCACCATAACATTTTTATTGAAACTTTCGGTTTCCTCTACAATTTTTAGAAATTATCTAATTCTGATTTAAAAAATATGGCTCATTAAATTGGCTCATCACCTCATAACTTCACACACCATTCAACTTATAATTTAATGCCTAGCTCAAAAATATTCACTTCTGGCTATTGCGCTACTGACAATGAGAAGTATGACTTATGTGGGCGGAGTCTTTCAATACAGAACGATTTTACGCTTCGGCGCTGACTCATTTCAGTTGGGGTCGATTATATATCAGTAGCGCCCGTAGCTGATGCTGATCATGGATTGAACTCCGTATCAAGTTGTATGATTTCTCAGAAAAAAAAATCTAGTTTCATTTAATTATAAAAAATCAAAATCGAAAGAGTGAGCCTACTTACCCCGGTCTCCCTATGCCATTTGAAAAACCATCAAGTGATTTTTTCAACATCATACTCACTCCATATACCGAACGGTGGAATTGTCATTATTTTTGGAACTTTTATAAATATTCATACGAACATCAATGAGTGGGACATATATTCAAGGACCCCATTCACCTCAAATGACTCGGTTTATAATGAAAAGCAAACTTTTCCATATCGAATTTCGAATTTGTTATCATTCATGCAGAATATAAGAACGAAATAAAAATATAACATGACCGTTCAAATGTATTTTTTGACGTTACGCTTCATTCCATCACATCCAACGGAGAATTGAATTTTCATTCATATCGATTTTCAATTTCCCCGATTGCTTTCTGCATGAAGGAGTAAGCAGAAGAATAATTGAGCGAATACGAAATGTAAATATTATCAGTTCAATTTTTCCACGAATTCCTTTCGTTTACAGCCACTTCTATTTCCAGGCGGAACACCAATAAAGTGAATAAAAATTACTCTCAGCATTTTTGCTACAAAAATTTGCTGTAGGTAGTGCAAACTACTATATATAATTTTAAAGTACTTGAAT